CAACAAGCAACAACACCAGAAACAGATCCTAGATGACAAGTCCCACATGCAAGCACCGGCCCTCCTTCACAGGCCAAACGGCGGGACAAGACCTCCCAGGACAAGACTCTTGTCTGCAAAAAAAAGAAGAAATCCCAGATTACATATCTATATACAGCAGATGGCCTTGTTCGTCATCAAGAAGTTGGTATCCCCATTTGTAAACCGTTCGTACTGGGACAAAAAACATAAAAGACAATCCCAGATGACGATTCCCACATAAAAGCACCGCCCAGCTCCTTCAATAGGCCGAACAAAGGGAAACAACCAACTGGGATGCCAAAAAGATAAAAAAGAGCCCGGATGACTGGTCCAACATGAAAGCACCGCTACGCCCGCCGAAATAGACCGAATAACGGGACAAACCAATCGGGATGCAGACAAGGTTACCAAAACAAATTCTACCATATCCATAGTTAAAAAAAAGACCGGAACCATACAGTAGGTCCGCAAAACGAAATACGGTTCAATACCCCATAAATGGGGAAGAGTAAAGCCAAAAAAGAGGAATGATAACAAGAAAATTAGGAGAATGTTTTTATATATCACCGCAAAGGGCCGGTATCAGGAGCGCCGTGCACACGGACATGATGGCCGACGTGCGCAACCAATCTGGCCATGATCTGCTGCCTTCTCGTCAAACCCTCGCAGTCATTGCAAACGTCGTCTTCTACTGCTACATCCCTTGCGTTGCGCTGGGTGAGCATGCATCGTCCGGGACGGCGGATGTCCTTGTCACTCTGGTCGTCGCAGTCGTCATCAGAATCGATCAGGCCTTGCACATCGACTTTGTAGTCGATTAGCAGATTGTGCAAGATGCAGACCGCCATGAATTCGCAGCAAATAGTCTTCACGTTACCTATTTGCCGCAGACCGAAATTCCTCCAGATGCCCTTCAGAATGTCAAGGTCCGCTCAATGACATCCTTGCCATTGAGTGGCAATCATCGAATGTCACCTGCGTGGTCGTTCGATCTCTGTGCGTGCTATGGGGAGTCATCAGCCAGTCGAGCAAAGGAAACCCAGCATTTCCCAATAAGTACAGCGCAATTGGGGTCCCATCCCTCAGCAAAGTAGGTTCCCTGCCAAAGACGCCCACACCGCTCTCACCTTCAACGCATAGACGGGACATTGCAGCACGCGAGAGTCATGGACAGATCCCAGGCTACCAACATAAACGTCCGAAATCCTGCACGCATGGTCGCACACAACTTGCGGAACAATTGAGAACTGTCTCGTTCGATCGTAGTAGCACTCCGGACGCTCATTCCTGGGCTTTTCGATGTACAAATGGGTGCAATCAATAGCACCTACACATCCAGGGAATCCTTTGAAGTGATCCGTGCAGTCCTCCGGACGCCGTCCCTGCGGAAAGGAGATGACATGAGGGTACTCCCTGATGATAGCTTCGGCCACGTCTTTGTTGATTCACAGCGCGCTCATGAGACCCATCCCCAACCCGTGGCCGGACTGGCTGTAGTATCCGCCAGTCGCCCACCTGATGGGGGCACATGCAAATTTCTGCTATGCCGACAGAGGCTGCCTCCAGTTCGCTGTAGCGCGCTGTATGTGAGGACCAATCCGCTGAAACACGTCATGGAATAATGGATGTGGCAGCCTGCAAGATCTCATGAACACCTTGCCATGACGGTGCCCAACATGCTGCAGGTCCTGCCAAGCCCCCCCGCTCCGCTCCAACACCCAAATCCTCCTATCATCCATCGCTCTCTCCATGTTTGTCATCCCCACCCACATGTTTGCTATGCTATGGCAAAAACATCCTGCTAGAAGTAGCAAGCACTGCTGCAAGCCGTCGTCGACTATAGGTAGGGAGGCCGCAGCCTGCAGGACAGCCATGGGGACTGCATTTCGCCTGTTCATCCACTCATGATCGCCATGATAGTCATCAACAGCACTTCATGGCCATTTTCCTCTCTTCCATTCCGCCTCCGCTGTTGTGCTCCACACTCCATGGCCGGGTGGAGATTTTGGATGCAATGGCAGAGTCGTTCACGCTTGCCACGCCAATGTCTTCTTGCACGGGGACAAACCCCCAAGTGACGTAAGCGAGCACGCTGGGATGGGGAGGTTGTGCGCTTCACGACCCACGGCGATGGGAATAGGGCCAGTGCACGTCAGGTGTTGACGATGATGTGGAGGACGGGCATGGAAGAGAACGGGTATGGCGTCAGCAGCTCTGCGCCTTCGGGACGATGAACCGGTTCTTTACAGCCGTTATCGGAAGCACCGGCCGTCCGCACTGCGCCACAGGCCGGTGACATCCTGGAACCGGGAACCAGCGAGGGTGTGCTGCCCGCATACCCGTCTCTGCCGCACGGGAAAAGTCGCGAGGCCACCCAGTATCTACAGCCGCCCTTCCATTAAACCACCGGTAAGGGACCTGGAATGGCCTTCCAGGCCCCGACCTTTCCAAAAGGAAAACCGCCCTGGATTTTCCTTTTTGGTTAGCCGTGGGCGTCACGAAAGCAACATTCCCGGCGGCGGTGCGGTCCCCTCTGTTTCGTCATCCCCGGCGGCGGTGGGCAGTCGACTGCAAGTCGACGACTTCCGAATCGGTTTACCGCCGTCCTGTGGGGTCCCTCCCTATGTTTTCAGAATTGGTTGCTGTTATCCATTGCTGCTGATCTTTTTCAAATTGATGGTCTGTTGATGATAGTGTCTTGGTTCTTCTCCATTTGTTTTCTTTTCTTTTTTTTGCCATTGGATATTTGCCAGCGCTGCCATATTGCCGTTGGATATTGCGCCCCGCAATGTCCATTTTGTTTTCACCGGTAATGTCTTACAACTTGACTAGGATGTTAAAAACCAAACCGAAAATTAAAGTTGGAATTCGGTCCCGCTTTTGTGTTTTGTTCTCCATTGTTGTGTGTCTCAGGGCGTGCTCAAACTCAAACGTTTTACTTATTTCTGGACAGAATTGTGGACAGATGCATACATGTTCGGCCATAAATGAGGTCGCATACATTTACGATAGTGGTAGTGTGCGTACACCCTCAGTCTGGGCCCTCGGGGGTTATCTAGCAACGACGTTCGACGGAGACCTACGGGAGTCACCCACATAGAACGTCCGTTCATTATAGCTGTATCCACAAAACTGGTTTCTTTCGGCTGGCCGTTCTGATCCGACTCAGAGTGAGGTCTCAAACAATCAACACGATCTGGATTCCAATCTAATAACCCAATTTGGTCAGACCGAACCGTGTTCGTATCTCAGTCAGCGAACATGTGAAAGCCAGCAACATCATTCTCCAGAGTCTCCACTGACTATCTAGATGAATCCAAGATCAGATAGTACGAGACTGACTGGGCCGCCACTACAGCTATAATGACCGGGCATTCTATTCAGACGAAGACGGTAGGTTCCTTGTGGGGGCAGTCTCAGCAGTCATCGGGGTCGGAGCTGGCGCAATGCAGGCTGGAGCCTGGAGCAAGGTGGTGCAACTCTGTAACCTAGCATGATGGGGGCATGAGGCCTGGTAGAGATCCGACTTTTCGCTGTAAACGGCCATGCCGGCGTGTTCAAAGAGGGGACTGTATGAGTTTCCATCTATTTTTTTTCGTGGTCGGGAGGACCTTCGGTACATCAGGATCTGAATTTGTTTTGAGAAACTCTTCATCATCTATAGTGTTCTTAGTCGAAACCGGGTGATGTCCCCGGTATTTCATGATTCTGTACTTTTATAAGGGACGCTGGGCCCGGTTCCCAGCCGTGTTGCTCCCCACGAATAGATTTGGAGCATCGTCTCAAAAACAACAAAAAACAAAACAAAACAAAAAAAAAGGTTCCTTCCCAGGCCCTTCAGGCACAAATGACGAAGGAAAATGCCGACCTTCTTCCCTGATAGCAAGTCTGTCTTGCAGTGAGAGCTAAGACAAGGTGTTCAAAACTGAGAGAGAGAGAGAGAGAGAGAGAGAGAGAGAGAGAGAGAGAGAGAGAGAGAGAGAGAGAGAGAGGTAGTTGTGTGTCGTGCCTCGAGTTTGCGGGAAGTCAACCTGGGGCCAAGAGCTACTTACTATATGAGGGGAAAAATCGTGTTGCACGCTGAACAGAAAGGTATGGACTCCACTATAAAGAAAGAAAACAATTAAAGAAAGAAAACAATTAAAGAAAGAAAGGAAAAAAAAACAATTAAAAAAAAAAAGTAAAAAACTTTGAAAAAGTTGAAAACTAAACAGAAAAAAAGAGGAACAAAGACAGTTTCCACTCACACCCCTTACAGACGAGCGGGTGCAGAGAGGCAGATGTGGAACCTGGCTTGCAGAGCCATACGAGATTGAACAGAAGCTTAATGGCTTCCAAACCTCCCAAACTGAACAGATCCTGGACTAGGTGTGTGTGTATCCACAAAGACTCCCAAACTCTTCGTGCTTCTCCATCCATTATTTACAATCCGAAATCCATCCTATCAACACCACCATAGCTCTCTCTCTCTCTCTCTCTCTCTCTCTCTCTCTCTCTCTCTCTCTCTCTCTCTCTCTCAAGGTCTCTCTTTCTCTCTCTCTCTCTCAGGCTCCCTCTTTTCTC